AAGTTTTTCTAAGATTACTTCTTTTATTTTTTTTAAGATATATGGAGGGGGTGGAGAGGATTAGAAATATAGATAGAAGCGAGGAGACTATGAAATAGAGAGAAAGTGAAATGACCATTTAAACCAAAATTTAGTTTGGATGAATTTGACCAACTTAAATTTATCTGTATCTTGTACCAAAAGGTCACAAGTTTAAATCTCCATTTCATCTCACAAGTCGAAGATAAGAAGAAAAAAAAAAAGACTTAGATAAATTTGGTTTGATTTTACACAATTCCACAACAGGGGAGCAACTAAGAAAGGAGGGTGGAGCTGGGAGAAGACTATTAGAGATAGAGAGAATGATGTGGTACTTTGTTGTACATGGTGATCAAATACACATTAGAGGAAAAAAAAGATCCTTACCTATAAATTTAAACTATCTTTATATGATAAAGAGATTACCATATATAGAAGATGAGGAAAAATAATGATCCTTAAAAAGAAGGAAAATGAGAGTGAGTGAAAGTGAATTGCCATCAAAACTGACATAATTGACAAAGACGATTAAGATATTTTTAAAGTAGATAAACAAACTAAAACGTAATTTTCAAATAAGACTGAATCTGAAATTGTAATCTAAAATAAAGTTGGGGAATATTTTTCAGTTTGCCAAATTAAACAAGAAAGAAGTACCTTGGCTTGGCCCCGATTGCTGCATACATACATTTCTTTGAGCATAATCGTGGGCGTTACTCACGATTTAGAGGAGAGGAGAGAGAATGAGGCAAAGATAGGAGAAAGCAAAGACAGGCTGTAAAGATGATGTAGATAAGAGAATAGGTGACCGTACGTACCACGTGTCCATATTGATAAGCAAATTAAAGAGGCATTTTTTTAGAATATAATAAATTCAAACCATAAACAAAATATCTACTCCATCTGCCTCTTATCATTTATCAAACTTGGCCCCATATCTCACACTCACATGCACATCTTACCCCACTAGTTTTAAATCCCAACACCTAATTCCCAACATTGCCCCTAAACTTTGGACAAAATTTCTAATACCACCCCTCTACTTTACCATTTCACATATTAACAATCAAATTCATCACTGCTTTGAAAAATTAGAGACCATTAATTTATTATAGGTTATGAATCACACGTTTGAGAAGTTGAAAGACCTAATAAAGGTTTACCAATGTATTTTGAGATGAAACCCATGAATATTAATATGGTATCAGGATCCAAAACATTCAAACGAGCATCCAATCCAAAAATGAGATCCGGTCAAGATCGATGAGCCAAAAGAACCATGTTTTGAGGGAACATGTTAAAGGATCTAATAAGGAGTTATAATAAATATGTACCACTTCTCTCATCGTCATTTGGTTTTGAGATGGAACTCATGAATATTAATATTATTTAGAATTGAAAGCAGACAAATTTAAAAGAAAAAAAGAAAAAAAGAAGTAGTTGTATCATGTATGATTGAATTTTGAATAAAGGATGAATTAGTGTTAAATTGTAAGGGTAGCACACACTTAATGATTGATAATTAGAATAAGAATAAGAATTAAAGAGAGAGCACGGCTCATTTTCTGTTTGGACGGCGTAGATGAAAAGCGTGGGATGTAAGAGTACGGCCGCCCAAGTTGCCAACTACCCATCTTTCCCTCTCAATCATTATTTCTCCCCTTCCACTTTTCCTAATATTATAATTTACTTTATGCTAACTTATATTATACATTCTTTTTAATATTCATAAAAATTAAATTAATTATTAAGATGTTACAACCTACAAAATAATTTTAAAAATAATTCAAAATTTATTTTTCTTTGTCGTCTCTTAGTGTCACTTTAATAGGAGTTTTTTACAAATTTATATATCGAGTGCCTCCTGTAGTTTTTTCTTTTTCTTTTTTTTCTTAAATATGAAGGATGTTTTTTCTTTTTTAAATATGTATAGACGAACCAAACCCGACAAAAGTCACTTATTTAAGGGAGGATTTTTAAGAAATCCTTCCCCAAGTCCGGAAACCACATACAACACAAATGCACACTCTTTTTATTCGTGAAAAAAAAAAATTGCGTTTCTTACCTTTACCAGGTGTCATCCATGCATGCACATATGTATATTTAAAAAGATAATAAATAAACAACATGTTGTCTTTGGAGAGACGACTTGCTTCCTATTTACAAGAATGAAAATAATGAAAAAACGAGATTGAAGTAGTGTATCTCTGCATTATATTTAAAATTTAGTTTGTAGTTAATATTATAATAATTAGTTTTATTTTAAGAACATTAAAAAAAAATCCCTTGTCTATGCGTCTCCAATTAATGTATAACATAATTGTTAGTCTTTTAAAATTCATTACAACCTCCTTTGTGTTGGACATTTGTGTGTGGATAACCTTCAAATTTGTGACTTTCTTTACGAAGATGTTCGTGTAAACACTCTCTTCCTCCCAAGAAAAATAAATAAATAAATATATATATATATATATAAAATAGTAATTATTATTATTATTATTATAAATAATAATGATAATAAAACTTTAACATGTTCTAGATTCTCAAATTTATTCTTCTAACTTATTATCAAAATTAAAACAACTCTATTTAGAAGATAAAGGATATAATAAAGATTTATAACATACAACTATTCAACTACTCATCTTATTACTAATTGATGAGATTGAACGTCTCTATATTTAGAGTCTGATGAAGTTTGCAAACTTTTAGAACAATAATGTTGATATTGCGTATCTAGCATGTGTACAAATGTTGCTTGATATTTTGTTTCATGTCGTGATACAATGCTTCTCTTAATTATATTTTATTATTATTAGTTTTTAAGTTCAAAGAAAGGGAGGAGTTTTAACATCGAACTATTTACACTATGCTTTAAAATTAACTTTATGATTTTGTGAATTGAGTTGAGTTAGATAAAGAGATGATTTATATCAAATTCAACCATTTTAATTTGAGAGATTTAAATTCATCTGACCTAAAAGATCTTAGTATTTTTAATTCAATAGTAAATTTAACACAATTCAATAAGAGAAATTAAATCCAATAAAAAGCAGAGAAGTAATGTATCAGGTATATCAATATCCATATTAGGTATATCGTTGACACATCAACTCTCATAATCAGATATATCAATGGTATATCAAATTTATATATATATATCATTGATATATTAGTTATGCTATTATTATTATTATAATAATTTTTTTTTGTACATTTACAAGCGCTCCTAATCTTT